TACAAGGGAGCTTAGCCAATGAGCGGTCAGAAAACGGTGTTTTCCTCTTGTAGTTCACACACAATCGCCGGCCTTGGACCCCCCAGCCCAGGCCTGATTGCTCTGGCCCAGGCATCAGGCCTGGGCAGGGGACCCCCAGACCCCTCCGATTGCCAGCTCCGCCCCCCGCCCAGGCCTGATGCCTCGGCCAGAGGCGTCGACCTCCATCACCCTCCAATCGCCGGATCAGCCCCTTGCCTTCGCCAGAGGTGTCAGGCCTGGGTGGGTGATCCCCATCTCCCTCTGATCGCTGGCTCGGTGAGGCGTCAGGCCTGGGCAGGGGACCCCCAGACCCCTCCAATTTCCGGCTCCGCCCCTGCCCAGGCCTGATGCCTCGGCCAGAGGCGTCGACCTCCATCACCCTCTGATCGCCGGATCGGCCCCTTGCCCAGGCCTGACACCTCCGCTAGAGGTATCAGGACTGGGCAGGGGACCCCCATCTCCCCCTGATCACCAGCTTCTGGGGTTGCACACGGGGGCCTGGATGGCGGCTCTCATGCTGGTGGCTGTGCTGTCCCACCCTGCCTGCATTATGCAAATTATCCGCCATCTTTGTTGGTGGTTAATTTGCATATTGCCCTGATTAGCCAATGGGAGGTGTAGCGAAGGTACGGTCAATTACCATGTTTGTCTATTATTAGATAGGATATCTTTATGTAAATTCCAAGCCATTTTCTGTGAAACCCCAGAAGAAAAATGTTAGGATATCATGTTCTTAAAATGTAGATGTAACAACAATATCCCAACTTTTTTTCCTTGTTTATTTATTTAACCAAGAAGAGGAAAGTCTAAGGATGGCCTGTGTGTGGAGGCTGAGGTGGGAAATGAGAGGGAAGGTAGGGGAGGGAACACTGGGTGTGCAGGACAGTGGCCACGTGACCACCGACATCCAGCAGAAATGCTGTTACCAAGACTCTCAGCATCCCAGCACCTACTCCCCACAGAGTCCAAGACCGCAAGAGTCCAGAACCCCAGTAGTGGAGGACCCCAGTAGTCCAGCAACCAAGGCTGCCTCCCAGGCTGGTCCAAAGGGAGTGAGCGGCCCTAGCAGGAAAGGCCTGGGCAGCCAGTGCCACTGTCACTGCTCCAAACACAGGGACTCAGGTCGACCCTCCAGGCCTCATCCTCTCCTGGAGAGTGGAATCACGCCTTTGATTAACGAGCCGATTGCCTATCCCAAGAAGTGGAAAGTCAACAAGAAAAAGTCCGGTGAAATGTCTTTTATGAGTTGTGAGCAGTTGTAGTTTTTGCAGAGCTGAGTAAAAAAATGTGTGCCTTCATTGAACTTGAATGACTGAACTTGACATTTTTAGCACACCCTTGTCGGTGAAAATTTTAATATACGCATATGCCTCAAATTTTATTTATGAAAAAGCATGTTTATCTGTGGTCAGTTTTTAAGTGAATGGCCCTAAAAATACTCTGAAGATCTTCCTGGGGGGTAGCGGCGGCTCCTGTGGCCAGCACTCCCGATGGCCGGCGCTCCTGGTGGCCGGGGCTCCTGGTGGCCGGGGCTCCTGGTGGCCAGCACTCCTGGTGGCCGTGGCTCCTGATGGCCCTCGTGCAGAGCCCAGCCTCCCCGGCTCCATCCTGAGCTCACGAGCAGCTGAGGGCCTGGCTCTGAGCCCCACCCAGGAAGATTGAAAATCAGCTGGTTTTTATTTGTTCCTCATTCTACATGTGTTGGGGTGACATATGGATTCCATCGCCTCTTCGTGTGTAAATGGTGCAAAGAGAAAGGCTGTGTGGGTGACACCCGTTTGTGGGTGTGACAGACAGGGGGCAGCTTTGATGAAGCAACACTGTGGGGCCTCTGGTGAGTGGGGAGCCAGTGCAGCACCTGCTGAAACGCGTGGGCTGGTTAGAGTGTGAGATGCTGGAGGAGGAGGCAGGAGCGTCCCCTTCACACCCATCTGTGCCCATCTGCTTGGGAATGTTTCTGTAGCGCATTCGGGAACGTTGAATCCAGAGGCTTTAGCAGACAAGACGGAAAGTTTATATAATAGTATTCAGTGTTTAACAGGTTGGTTAGATGTTGGGGTCCAGCCCCAACAGGTCCAGGGGTTCCCCATAGGTGTGGACGGAGTCGGTGAAGAAGGAATGACACAGAGGCAGCCTTCAGGTGATTATCATGGCGAGGTTCCTCCTAGCCAGGATCCTCCTAGCCAGGTTCCTCTCATTATTATCCTCTTACATTTGTATTTATACTATTTGATCTTAACCCTATCCATTCTATTCCAAAGGTCAGGGGTTTCTTATCTCCATTCCAAGGTTACTCTATTGTTCTAAGCTGCAAGGAAGTAACTGAAGGAGGTTATTCTAAGTAAAGATTATGTAGCTTAAGCGTGATTGTTCGTAGTTAAAGTGATTAACTACCTGCCTGGCACTTAGTTAAGGGGTTTTACTGATAAAAATCCTCACCTGGGGAAACAACCTTTCTGGGGGAGCGTTAAGAGGGGGAGGAAACGTATTAAGAACAGTATGCAATATATGCCAGGTCCCTTGAAACATCCCTGCAGCGACTATGTCAAGCAGCAAGGATGGATCGGCTTCCAGCAGTTAGACTTCAGGTTTGACTTTTATTCAGGCAGGAAGCACTTTGGAGAGTGTGGGAGATCTGTTATTTTGCACTAGTTTGTAAGTTTTTACGCCCCCCGCCCCCACCCCAAATAAAGTGGTAACTCAATTCTTCATATAAAAATGGACTCTACTTACCTGAGTACTTTTAAAAGCACAGCAGGAAGAGCAAGCAGTGGGACATAAGCATTAAAGATGACTTGAGTTTCCGTTTCTTATATGCAGATTTTCTTGGACAGTTTTTCTGGAAAAAACAATAACCCTCTTTCAAACGTGACTGGAACAAGATTCTAAATGTCTGGGTTTGGACATGAATTAAGCCACTCGTGTAGCTCCACGAATTCACACTGGAGGTACAGCAAAGGGTAGGCGTGGCCGCAGTATTACTGATGGGAAACATGCATAAATTTAAAGACACAGTGCTTAGGAACCTTGGCAGCGGCTCTCTGCCCCCATCTTCTCCCCCACCGATGTGCAGAAGTAACTATTCTAGCCTTTATTCTCATGCTCTGAAGGCTCGGGACACTGATGGGCTGTGGTGGGAGGCAGAGGGGAGCGCTCATACATACAAGATCCAGGCACTGAGAGCACCGTTTCCTTCAAACTCCCCCTAGTTGGTTGGTGGAAAGCAGTGGAGACACCATTTGTAAACTACAGGCTTGGGATTCTGTGCCAAAAAACTTAATTTTAAATGAAAATGTGTACATAAAATATGTATTACATCTGCTGGAAAAAAAAAACTAAAGTGGATTTATTTTTTTTATTTAAAATTTTTATTTGTATATGTCACTGTAGTGCTCTGACAATAAAATGACACCATGTACCAGAGCATACAGACATCAACAGTAAGATGTAACTTACCATTACACCACTGCTAGAATATTTAGATTTTTTAAGGGACACATAAGCATGTAAGATGGCCACACTAAATAATTTTCTGGTTTTTTCCCTTAGATAATCTGAAAATTTTTAAAATCAGTAATACTTTATCAAATTCACTGTTAATAGAACTGTAAATTCTCTGGGTGAGAGGGTATGGGGGCAGGGGGAAGGAATCATTCAATGTGGGAGATTCAATTGTGTTATACTGTCATAGTCACTAGAGTAATCTCACACACACCAACAAGGAACTGTCATCAAAATTAAGGGCTAGTTACTGTTGTTAGTTGCACAATGATAAAGTTCTTTTCAGAACATTGGTTAGCCCACTTATGGTATGAAAAATGCCCTCTCCACTTATGCAGACAAAAAAAATATTCAGAAACTTATTTTTGGCCTTGCTGTGTCAAAAAAAGTGAACTGTACAAAGATCTATGTGTCAAACCTAAAATTATAATTTTGAAAGCTTATTAAAAACAAAAATGTCATGCATTTTTATTAATTATACAGAGGCTTTAAAACTGTTGCAAGACCATATAGGTATATATTAGCTTTTATACTGTTAATGCACAACTAACAGCAAACTTGATTAGATTAACAGAAATCTGTCTTAATTTCACCTTTATACATCACACTAGATCTACAGAAACATTCAGTTCTGAGCACTTAAATGGCAGCATAACTTTTTGTTGTAAAACTGATTCACTTTGGAATTTTACCATAGGAATATGATTCAAGAGATGTGATGTGTATTTTTGAGACTGCCAAGAATAACTTTTAAGAAGTTAATTTATGAGATTTGAGAAGGAAGGTTGAAATGGAAAATGAATTTAGAAATGTCCTTATTTTTCCTGGTGTTCTATATTAATAAGTATTATAAGGAGTTGAACTCTCTGGAACTGAAGGAGAATAAAATGAAATTTCTTAATAACACTACTTCTTCTTAAGTTGGTAGACCAAATTCAGCTTTCCTGTCATATAAAGTAATTTCATGACATTGTGTAAATTTTGAAAAAGGGATACATCATTTCATCTTTATTCTCAGTATATTTTTTGTTGATTAAATCAATGAAAAATAAATCTGACTTAATTTAGCTTTTTCTATATATTTTCTTCTTTTTAATAAAATTGTTGAATTCTATATACTAATGTGGAGTTGAAACTCTGTAACTAAATATGATAACAATCTCCATTTTTGTAATAAAGATCCTCAGCCTTAGATGATGACTCCCTTTGTCGGAACACTTGGTCCAACCAAAGTTCAAATATGACTATAGAATGGTCATGGGTCTGTGGTGTTTGTAACAAATTTGACTTTACTGCCTATGAGTGAAAATTCAGGGCTTATTTCTTCATATATAATTCTAAGGGCCAACTATTGGAAACAGTTAAGCCAGTTAGCAAACAACCAGAATTGGCCTGTGGAATCTGATACTTGGCTGAAATTCCTTTTGGTTTTTGCTAAGCTTTGTAGTAGAGGCACGCCATTCTGTGTGTGTGTGTGTGTGTGTGTGTGTGTGTAAAAAGCCTAAAGAAGCAAAGCTGTTTATTATGTGTCTCAGCGTGGTCTGCATTTGTTGCACTGCCCAGATCATGCTTATGTGAAAACTAGCATTTCATAGTTAATCGTGAGGTCTGTAGTATTGTTACTTCATAGTACACACTTGACTATTCTTGAGTGATTAAAGAGATTTTGTGTGCAGTTGAAGAAGCTGTTGGCATGATCTGCTGAGGCCTGAACACTGATTTTTTTAAATGTTTTTATTGATTTCAGAGAGAGGAAGGGAAAGAGATAGAAACATCAATGATGAGAATCATTGATTGGCTGCCTTCTGCATGCCCACCCTGGAGATCGAGCCCACATCCTGGGCACCTGACCTACACCAGCTGGACAGTGAGCACTGATGTTGATCCCATTCCTCAACCTGGAACAGGAAGGCTCAGGCCTCAGAAGTCTGGTGACCTGGGGTTTACAGTTAGTTCTCAGAAGTCTGGTGACCTGGGGTTTACAGTTAGTTTTTTTGTTTGGTTGGTTTTTTACTTTTAGAACAAAACATGTAGCTTGCTGGTACTTTATATCCCGCATTTTAACCAGGCCCTTTGCTCAGCTCACTAGTAAGGCAAGCGAGGCTCATTTGGGTAACTGCCGCCTGGCAGCGAGCACCTCTTTGTCCAAGAGAAATGACGCTTCCCTGCAAATGCTTCTCCAATGCCGTCCACTGCCCTGCGCTGTGGCTGCCGCCACACAGGGCCGACAGAACACCCACATGGCCCGTTTCCAAAGTCTTCTTAAATGTTACATGGGCACAGTTTTCTGATCCCTTTTGTTTCCTAATGTTTTTCTTTTACTCAAATAAAATTATATTTTACTGCCTTTACTAGGTGTACCAGTTAATAATGGGGATTTTTTTCAATAGATGGAATGACACATACGTTGATATATATGCGATTTGATATGTATGCTATTTTGTTGTATTGACAGCAAGCTTCAAAACTTCATGTGTCAAATTTGCTGAGGGTGTTAACATCATAGATATTTTCACACTTAAAAATGTCGAATTTCATGCCCCAAAAAAAGAGCATTTGCGGGAAGTTTTTTTTTTATTTTTTTATTGCCACTGTTGGTTTTTATTGTCTGTTTAACTTTTACTAGCTCTATAATAGTTTTATTTTTTCCTCTGCATCTGGACTAGCAGACTGAGTGGTTGGAGAACCACATCGACACTTATTTTACTTACTTATTTTTATTTTTTCTTCCTTCCTTAGTTTTATTTTTTTAATTTAATTTTATTGTTTAAGGTATTACAAATAGTAGTACATATGTCTCTTTTTTTTTCCCCCTACTGACCTCCACCCGGCCTCCCAGCACTTGCCCTCGTCCCCTCGCCCCCAGTGTCTTGCACTGTTGGTTGTGCTTATATGCATGCATACAAGTCCTTCAGTTGATCTCTTACCTCCCCAACCCTCCCCTACCTTCCCACTGTAGTCTGACAGTTTGTTCAATGCCTCTTTGCCTCTATTTTTGTTCCACAGTTTGTAATGTTATTATCCATAAATGAGTGAGATCATGTGATATTTATCTTTCTCTGACTGGCTTATTTCACTTACCATAATGCTCTCCAGATCCATCCATGCTGTTGCAAATGGTAAGAATTCCTTCTTTTATAGCAGCATAGTATTCCATTGTGTAGATGTACCACAGTTTTCTAATCCATTCATCTGCTGATGGGCATTTAGGCTGTTTCCGAATCTTAGCTATTGTAAATTGTGCTATGAACATAGGGGTGCATATATCCTTTCTGATTGGTGTTTCTGATTTCTTGGGATATATTCCTAGAAGTGGTATTACTGGGTCGAATGGCAGTTCCATTTTTAATTGAGGAAATGCCATACTATTTTCCACAGTGGCTGCACCAGTCTGCATTCCCACCAGCAGTGAAGGAGGGTTTCTTTTTCTCCACATCCTCTCCAGCACTCATCATTTGTTGATTTGTTGATAGCTGTCCTGACAGGTGTGAGATGGTACCTCACTGTCGTTTTGATTTGCATCTCTCAAATGATTAGTAATAATCTCGAATGATTAGTGACTTTGACCATGTCTTCATATGTCTCTTGGCTTTCTGAATGTCCTCTTTTAGGTCCTTTGCCCATTTTTTGATTGGATTGTTTATCTTCCTTTTGTTAAGTTGTAGGAGTTCCCTGTAAATGTTGGAGATTAAACCCTTATCAGAGATAACATTGGCAAATATGTTCTCCCATGCAGTGGGCTTTGTTGTTGTTTTGTTGATGGTTTCTTTTGATGAGCAGAAGCGTTTTATTTTGATGTCGTCCCACTTGTTTATTTTCTCTTTAGTTTCCATTGCCCTAGGAGCTGTATCGGTAAATATATTGCTACAACAAATGTCTGCTGTTTTGCTGCCTATGGCTTCTTCTAAGATTTATATGGTTTCCCTCTTATGTTTAAGTCCTTTATCCATTTTGAGTTTATTTTTGTGTATGGTGTAAGTTGGTGGTCTAGTTTCATTTTTTTTGCAAGTGTCTGTCCAGTTTTCCCAACACCATTTATTAAAGAGACTGTCTTGTCTCCATTGTATGCTCTTGCCTCCTTTGTCAAATATTAATTGAGCATACTGGCTTGTGTCGATCTCTGGGTTCTCTGTTCTGTCTATATGTCTGTTCTTGTGCCAGTACCAGGCAGTTTTGAGAACAGTGGCTTTGTAGTATAGCTCAATATCTGGTATTGTGATCCCTCCAACATTGTTCTTCTTTCTCAAGCTTGCTGCAGCTATTCGGGGTCATTTTTTATTCCAGATGAATTTTTGGAGAATTTGCTCTGTCTTTGAAGTATGTTGTTGGTATTTTAAT